AGAACTGCAAGATAACAAAAAAGAACCCATCAACTACCTAGAAATTAAAAACAAACAAACAAACAAAGCCCTGGCAAATGTGGTTAAGGAAAAAAAGAAAACACAAATATATGATGCTAGGAATTACAAAAGAGTAATACACAAGTTGGGAGACTTAAAAGGCAATAGTCCACTTTGTACAATGTTATGCCAACACATGTGAAAGCTAGATGAAACAAATACTTTTATGGACAAATAAAAACCAATAAAACCAAGTCAATAATTTATAATAAACTGAAAAGTTTATAAATGATTTTTCTCCAAAAGGTGGTAGGCCCAGATGTTTTATGGATAAAATCTTCAAGGAACAGAAAAGTTACATATTCTTTAATTTTCCCAAGCATATTAAAAGTTGGTCATCTCTCCAATTCATTCTTTTAGGAAAAAAATAATCCTGCTGTTAAAGCTGTCGAAGAGAGTATACAACTACAGTAATTATAGCATAGACAAAGAGATGAATGGAGCAGAGTCCAGGAAGATAACTAAGTGGGAATTTAGTGTATGAGACACCTGGAATTTCAAACTAAGTGATTAAATGGTACATTATTCAAGAAGTGATTTGGGGAAAACTGGCTATCCATCTGGAAAAAAAAAAAAAAGATCTTTTTGTCAAAGTTTAAGTCAAGATAAATTCCCTATGAATTACAGATACAAATAACAACCCTCAAAATCCAACAATTAAAAATTATTATAAGAAAACATGGGAGAATACCTTTACAGTGTTGGATGGGACATGTTTTCTTTAGCATGACACCAAAGGCCAAAATACAAAACATCACTGATTGAACTACCTTACTTCTTAAAATTTCTACATGAATTCTGGTGAAGAGAAATCTGTGAGAATTTAAATTGCATATACCTTTTGATGCAATAATTCTAGTCTTAGATAATTTACTTTTGGATAATACACATTGTGCAAAGACTTACGAAAAAGAATATTCATTTTGACCCCACGTGTAGTAGAGAAAACCTGGAAACAATTCAAATGTCTAAAAATAGTGTGGTTAGAAAAATTATAGTAAATTCATACAATGGTATACTATGTAGACATTAAAGAGAATTAGGTTTAATTGTGAAAAAATGCCCATAATAAAGTGAAACAAAAACAAAACCCTTGTAATTCTGTGTGTATGACATGATTCCACTTACAGTTTTGAATAATATGATTGTATATATGCTTAGAGAACATTTTTGAAAAATGGAAACATAAAGGTGCTATACTTTGGGGGAGTGGTTATTGGGTAAAATTTGGGTAAGAGAAGGCAGGCCAAGGGACATGTTTACGATTTACTTCATACAACAGTTTGTCCAAAATATATTTAAAATTATTATGGCACAAGACACGACAAATAAAGCAAAGAGAAATAACAAGCTGGTGAAAAATACTTACAGTATGACAAGTGGATAATGGCCTTAATATGTAATTAGCTGTTACAAATCAGTAACAAAAAGACGGAAAATAAAGATGATGACAATAGCACTAATTTTACACAGAAATAATTATGTGCAGGTTTTAACTTACTCAAAAACCCTTACAACAACACCATGATATATACAATTACCACCCCCCATCTTATAGACAGGGACACTGAGATGCAAAGAGGTTAAGGCATTTGTCCGAGGTTAAAAACAGCAAGTGATAGTAGAGAGATTCAAATGCAAGTGGTCTGGCTCCAGAACCTATACTGCCTTTCAAAAGACTGATGGGCGAAGGATATAGAAAGACAATTCATTAGAGGGGAAAAAATGGCCAGTAAAAACTGTTGAGCCTCATAATAACAAAAGAAATGTATGAAGTATCAGACTGCAAGGGATAATCACATGGGTTATGAGAGTATGGGAGAAAAAATCTGTATCACACATTGGCGGGAGGGAAAAGTAGTATACATCCTCCATGTATTGAAATTTATGTATTATGTATCAATATTTACATATTTTATAATTATATATCATGTAGAAAGTTTATATATTCTTTGGCTCAGCAATTCTATTTCAAGGAATTCATTCTGAGGAAATAACTGGATAAAAGAGCCAATGCACAAGGATTTCCACAGCAGAGTGAATGCCTTGAATATATATATTTTGGGTACATGTAGCATGTATTTAACATTTAGAAATTATATGTACACACACTCATATGTGCAAACACTGGTTATTTCTACACTGAGAAAAAACTTGCACTTTCTACATTTCTGTATTATTTCTTTTTTATTTTAAATTTATTTTAGCATTTATTTATTTTTGAGAGACAGAGAGAGAGCATGAGCAGGAGAGGGGCAGAGAGGGGGACACAGAATCCAAAGCAGGCTCCAGGCTCTGAGCTGTCAGCACAGAGCCCGACGCGGGGCTCGAACTCACAAACCACGAGATCATGACCTGAGCCAAAGTCAGACACTTAACCGACTGAGCCACCCAGGCACCCCTGTATTATTTGCTTCTTAAATGCTATGTACATATTACTTTTATAATCAGAGAATAGTTAAGTTTTCATACATACACATATGCTTTCAAAATTGAAGAGGTTAGAGACCAACCTTGGCACGTGTAAGCTCCATGTATAGAGGTACAGAGACTTCCTGACCTTTGGATCCCAAGAGCAAAAGTACTGGTGTTTTGTGATACATAAAAGGAAAGAAATACCCAAGGTTTCTGAAAATCTGAAAGCCTACATGACAAGAAAATAATAGAAGTATTTAAAACATGCCTATCGCTCCCACCCCACTCTGTCCTCAGGATGCCTGGGCCCATCAACCTGCAATGCACACTCTGCAGGTGTGGCTTTGGGGACCTGTCCTAGGTCCTGCACAGGTAGGCAGTGATGGCCACCTCCATTCCCTGGCTCTGCACTTCAACAGCCGCCCCAGGGAAGGAGAGTCACAGAAAGTTGGGGCAACTATGTGCTGTGGTTAGAATCTAATCTTGATCTATGTGATCAAGATCAGAACCACATGGCTTTTAGCTTCATAAAGAAAGTAAAATCTATTTGATGAAGAACAGGAACTATGTATTTTATTTAGTAAAAGGGTTATTGTACTGTTTTAGTGAAAATCTGAGATGAAAAGGAGCTTTCCAACTGGCAAACCTTATTTTCAAGTTTAGAAAATATCCTGCTATCACATGAGAGCTTCTCCCCTGGTTTTATTTCAAGGGTCTGTGAACTCTTTCTGTAAAGGGCCAAATATATAATTTAGGTTTCTAACTGCATCTACTCAACTCCACCATCATAGCAAAAAAAGCAAACAGACAATATATAAACAAAGGGTCATGGCTATATTCCAATAAAATTTTATTTACAGGGGTGCCTGGGTGGCTCAGTGGGTTGAGTGTCCGACTTTGGTTCAGCTCACAGTCTCACGGTTCATGAGTTCAAGACCTGCACTGGGCTCACTGCTGTCAGTGCAGAGCCTGCTTTGGATCCTCTGTCCCCCCTTCTCTCTGCCCCTACCCTGCTCATGTGTGTGCTCTCTCTCTCTCAAAAGTAAATAAAACATAAAAAAATTTTTTTTTTTTTATTTACAAAAATAAGTGGTGGGGGTGTCTGGCCCTTGTGCCAAATCTCAGAGTAAGGGTTTGCTCACCCCCTCAGATTACCGATTTTAGAAGTGGCCTGTTTTAACATACCTTTCCCCCACTGTTTACCTCAATTTCTGAGGTTATCTTCTGTAGGCAGTAGACACAGCCTTTCCCCTAAGAAAAGGAGATGTGTCTCAACACCACTGAAATGTCCCAAGCTTGGTCATTGTTAAATCTCACAGCAAAGACTTGGGGACAGGCACCTGTCATCACTGTTCTAAGTCCCTGGAGCAGACACATGACTGTCACAGCTGCCACAATCCTTCTTGTCACATCCCAGATCCCACTTATCCCGGCTCTCATCTCCACACATATGGCTCAATACTGGGCCCCATCCTTTAGTTTGAGAGAAAATGGATGTAACTCCAAAGAAATGGTATGAAGATTTAGAAATGGCTCAGAAGATCTGTACATAAACAAGACTGCAGAATGTGTACATTCTTGTGACTAAAAATGTGGGTGCCAGTTCATGTCTGTATATTCTTGGCAGAAGAGCACAGCGGTTTCAGCCTCTCTACAAATAATCCAAAGAGCTACTAGGAATGCTCACGCTGCAATGCCTACACTAGAGACCACCTCTCAAAAGAAAAGAGTGGCCAAGGTAGTGTTCATCAACCTAATTCTTCCCACTAAAAAGTATGAACGTTGGAGGAAAGAAAGTTTGCTTAAAAAAATAAGCAATACATATACAGAAGAATTAGGAGTGAAAAAAAAAAAGCTGTCAAGTATCCTGAACCCCAATTTGATAATGTATTGATCTATAATGCTTGTAAATGGAAGCAACAATTAGAAAACTTGCGAACATTCACATTTCTTCTTTTGTTGTTAATTAGGACTCAGTAAATACTTATTGAGAACCTACTAAATGCCAGGCATTGTGCTGTTTAGAAACAAATATTGTGTATTATTTTCTTTCAAAAACTGTCTATTAATAAAATATGATGCATTTGAGTTGTAGACACAGGCAAGAAATATATGTAATATATATATGTGTGTATATATATATATATGTACATATATATATATTCAAGAGTCATCCAGGTACCCTATTATTTTAATAAATGAACAATACTCATGATTCTTATTTGAATTAAGAAATTCAAATTTCCTTTTTTATAATAGGCTTCTAGTCAGTGAATTTGCTATAACTATAGTTTCTTTCCTAGGTATGACATATACTATGTTTCAGAGCACGTATTTAGAGGATTTTTAATAATACTTATCTGTCCATTAGGAAGAAGTCCTAAGAAATGTTGGATTTATCCTACAATCACTTATGAGCACAGCCTCCAAATTAAAGCTTTAGCTCTGATTCAACATAGCAGAGTAACGCTGCTGCCTGGGGGTGCCCAGAACATGAGCAAACCTCTGGGTGCTGAGCTACTTACAGCGAAAGGGTGGTAAGGGGGAGCGGGGGGAGCTCCTCGGGGCCCTGTTGGTGGAGGCAGCACGGACAGTCCTGTTGAAAAGATGCCAAGTGCGCTGAGGTTCAACCCCGGGATCAGATTGGCTTGTTGCTGGGAACAGAAATGGAGAAAAAGATGAGGGGAGGAGACCAGAGAGGCCCAGCTTGCCTGAGTCAACCTCCATCTTTTGTCCGGTCTCCTAATCAGCTCTGCCCTGGCCTCACGGACCCCCTTGCTGCTGGGGTGGGCTCTCCAAACCTCAAGCTGACCTTCAAAGCTTCTCTGAGAGTGTCTACACATCTTAACACAGCCAACAACGCTCCTCTGGGGGACCCAGGCCACCATATCTTCTCTCCTGCTAAGCACTCATCCCCACCCTGCCCAGTCCCACTCCTCTCTCCCCTCTGGGCCTCCGCACACATTATCCATCATGCAGAGAAACTGCTTCTCTTCCTCCTGACCTAAGTCCTACTTGCCATGTGGGTTTCACCTGAGCTTAGGTGTCTCCTCACTCCAAAGGTCTCCACTCCAGTGACCTGTCTGTGTGCCCCCACCAACATTCCTGTGTTTCCTTCAAATAATATTTGAAATCTCATCACATGGTATTTGACTTGCCTGTGTAGTTGCCCCTTCCCTTTCAGATCATAACTTCCTCATGGACAGAGACTATATTCCTCAGTGTTGTGTGCTCAGTGCCTGGTACATAGTAAGTACTCAATAAATACTTGTGGAATGAATATGTTTAAAAAATATTGAGTTAATATGTTTTTCCAACTCTATCCAGAGAAAGATCAGATCTTTCACTAGGATACTATAACACATGTAAACTCCATTCTCAAGTTCAGGATGGTTCACAACTTTGAATTTTTCACCATTTAGTTGCGAGTGTTGTGATTACCTCACTTGCTTACTTATTTCACATTTCAACATGGGGATGCTCACCTAGGCAGGGGGTGGGTATTAACTACACAGGGATGCAGTCATCTGGGCTGTGTCCACCCTGCCCCTACCTTCATCTCCCTGAACACTAAGCAGTTCTCTAACATTTTCTGTTTTCTTATCTGTGACTAGGGTCACCCATTAACTTGCCTTCTTTTAGGATGTTTGGAATAGGAGAGCTGGGTTCTTTAACCTTTACCCCATTTGATATATAAGATCCACTAATTTTGTTAATCATGTGTCAACGCGTGACTTTGGTACAGATATGAATGAATCTAAACGATACGCTAAGTGGAGATACTTAGAGCACCCAGACCCTTTTGTAGCTTTTCTGGATGACATCATATGATGTCAAGAGTCCAAAAGAAGACAGTGATGTCATCTGAGGATATTTCCACAGACAAATACACACAAATGGGGAGAAAGTGACAATGTGATCTTGTACTCATCATGTCCCATATGTGATGTGGGCTGCTAAGGGGGTGCTGGGGCGAGGAGGAGATAGTGTTCTGACCTGAGCAGGAGGGTCCTTAGAAAGAGGTGCACTGATGGCACTGGCTTTAGCCTACGTAACTCTTTGTCAACATTTACTCCTCTATGAAACATCACCAGGTCTGGGATTTGCTTCCAGGTCATTCAGGGAGGCTGGGAAAGCACATGGAGGCTTAGGTGAAACAAAGCAGGCCATGAGTTGATAACCGCTGAAGATGGACTATAGGCATATGACGACTTATTGCAGTATCCTTTCCTCTTTTATGTCAGAACATCATTATAATAAAAAACAATGAAACAAATGACTCCTCTGAGTTGGGCTTGGGCTTTGCTGACAGACGAGATTTTTAAGATTTCTGAAGGTCAGACTGGTGTCTCCCCATTGTAAAGTGAGAATCAGTTAGCAGTAACAGGAAGGACAAGCCCAAATCCAGACGTCTGCCGGAACAATCAGGGACAGCCAAGGTGAGTGACATTTCCCGGGTGATCCAGAAGTGCACATCAGTAAGACAGGGATGAAAATCAGAGTTTACTTTTGAAGCATTTTTAAATTTAAAAAGTAACAGGACAACATGACAGAAAGTTTGTAAAGTAGAAAAAAATCCCACTTTCCTAATATACCAGCTGTTTTTATTTTTGTAGGTAGCCTTCCATTTTGCTCCATACTATTTTACATAACTGTAACCCTAGTTAAATACACTTGTATCTGCTCTTTTCTTAATATTGTAAGCAATTCATCATTTTATAATCCTCAAAGTTAAGATTTTAATAGCTTCACACTATTTTGTCCAGTGCATTTATCATAATTTACTAGTTGGTTTCCTGCTTGTTTTAATGCTCTTGCCCCAGGAAGGCAGGAATAACTCTGCAGATCTATTCTAAGGCACTTCCTCACCAGCTGAATGACAACTATTCTTAGAGAGGCTTGTGTCCTGCCTGAAAACACATGTGAAAACCAGTAGAGAAGAAAGCATTGGCACTTACATTAACAGCCAGCATATCATTTTCAAAGGCCTCACGGAGCTTCTTCATAATCTCTACCTCTGCACTGGCACAGGCCTCGACTGTGCCCTTCACAGTGATGGTTCTTTCGGGGTTGTATATGCTCAAATCCTGCAAGCTGGCCACCGGGAAAAAAGAGAGATTTCCTTTTTTCAAAAGGAAAAATAAAATCCCAGAAGGATCACAAACAAGTCTTGGTGGAGGACGTGGGGAGAAAACTGGATTCCCTCACCACACACTGTCGTATCAAATACTTGCCATCTGATCTCGCGTCTTAGAGGTGACTTAGCTCATATCCATAGTAGAAAATGTCTGACTGTAACTATTTATGTATTTGTTTTGATGGTGTTAGATATATTTACATCGTTTATAATTATGTTCCCATTTTAAGGAAAAGCAGATGAAGGAGTTGGGCATATCGAAATGCTCAAGTTCTCCATTTTGGGCACAATTAATCTGAATGGGTGGCTTACGATGAGATTGTTATCTTGGTCCCTGTCTCATGTTCAATTTTCTTCAAATTTCTGCCTTCTTTTCCAATAAGTCTTCCAACTAAGCCATTGTGGGCCAAGATCTTCAGAGGAATCTCTTCGGCTCTAAAAGAGACAAACAACAATTTAACACTTATGGTGGGCACATTGGTCGTCTCCTAATAGCTATTAAACCACTTTTGTTCCCTTTACAAATGGGAGCCATTTTGTTTAGGTATCAAATGGTGATCCCAGAGTACATGAGTTCTGATTAACATAAGCCAAATCATAATAATTATATTCCCTTGTTGAGACTGATTGGAAGTGGGTGCCATGAGGCAAATCTAGCCAAGGAAGTAAGAGGAGAAGTCTGTTACAGGACTTTAGGAAGGTTTCCTTGCTCTTAAAAAACACAAGGAAGAACACCAGCCAGATGGCAGAGTAGGAAGCCACAGGTTCTCCTAACCCCACAGAGACATCAAGTTAACAACAGAGAGACTAGAACACCTCTGTGAGAATTCTAGAGATCAGCTGAGAAGCTATAGCACCTTGGCCACCAAGAAAGGATTCTAGCAAAAGGAGTAGGAAAATTTACAGCGTTTGGTGTGCCTGTACATGCTCCTTCCTCTATGCAGCATAGCTAGGAGCAAATGGGAGGAAATATCCCTTATCAGGAATCCTCCCATGGGATGGAAACCAAAGACTTGACCATATATTCAACATATGTCTTATCTAGGAGCCACCAAGGGGTCGGTTTCTGTCTTGCTGACTTGGAGCACTTAGGAGACTGGTGCTAGAGTTTTGGAAGGCACTGAAAACAGAGGTGAGCAGTATGTTAGAGCTGCAGTTCTACAGTCAGAAACCAGGGGAAGAAAGAGATGAGAAAAGGTTTGAGAATCCCTAAGACCATAAGCAGGGCTGGTAAGTGAAGGTCTTCCCCTGAATGAAACCAGTACACAAAGACTGAGAGATGGTTGTTTTTTCAAATGTTCAAATCCCAGCAAAATATTAAAGGACATACAAAGAAACAGGGAAACATGGCCTAATCAAAGGATCGAAATTTAACTCCAGAAAACAACCCTAAAGAAATGCAGATCTATGAGCTACCTGACAAAGAATTTATATAACTGTCAGAAAGACACTCAGTGAGAACACAGACAGACAACTAAACAAAATCAGGAAAACTATGCATGAAAAAATTAGAATATCAACAAAGATAAAAACTATAAAAACAAATAATGGAACTAAAAAATATAATAACCAAATCAAAAAAACTCATTAAAGAGGTTCGACAAGCAGACTTGACAGGCAGAAGAAAGACTGATCAAACTTGAAGGCTGGTCATTTGAAATCAGGAAGTTAAAGGAGGAAAAAGAAAAAAGAATGAAAAAAGCCCCCCAAAAGCACAAAGAAAGGCTAAGGGACTTATGGGCCATGCTAACGGATACTCATGTGAATCCCAGAAGGAGGAAAGAAGGCAGAGAGCTCATTTGAAGATGGCAGAAAACTTTCCAAATCTCAGGAAAGAAATGGACACATAGATTCAAGAAGGTCAAAGAACTCTAACTGGGACAAAACCCAAGAGAACCACACTGAGACATATTATAATTCAAGTGTTCAAAGTCAAAGAGAGAATCCTGAAAGCAGCAAGAGAAAAGTGATTAGTCACATACAAGGGAGTTTCCATAAGATTATTAGCAGTTTTCTCAACAGAAACTTTGCAAGACAGAAGGGAGTGGGATGATATATTCAAAATGCTTAAAGAAAAACACATCAACCAGGAATACTGTAACTGGCAAAAGTGTCCTTTGAAAATGAAGGAGAAATAAGACTTTCCCAGTAAACAAAAGCTAAGGGAGTTCATTATTATTACACTTGCTCTATAAGAAATGCTAAAAGGAGTCCTTTAATGGAAAAAAAGGACAGTAGACAGCAACACAAAGCCATATGAAAATATCAGGTTCTCTAGTAAAAGTAAACAAACACACAAATAGAATATAACCTGTACTATAAGAATTCTGATGCACAGAATTTAAATAACATTTCAAAAAAGATAAATCTGTTAGTGGGCATAAAATACATAAAGAGTAATATGTGACATCAATAACAAAGTGGGGGGATAGAGCTGTAAAAGAGCAGAGTTTTTGAATATTATCAAAGTTAAGTTGCTATCAGTTTAAAATAGAATGCTATAACTTTAAGATGTTTTATGTAATTGCAATGGTAACCAAATAGAAAATGTCTACAGGATATACACATAAAAGGAAATGAGAAGGGACTCAAAGTATAACTAAAAACACCCAAAAAGCAAAGAACAAAGAAAAAACACACAAAAGAAAGCAGTAAGAGAGAAAATGAGGGACAGTAAAGCTGTGAGACTTACAGACAACAAAATGGCAATAGTAAATCTTTCTGATGAGTAATTACTTTAAATGTAAAATAATTAAACTTCCCAATCTAAAGACATGGATTGGCTGAATGGATTAAAAAAAAAAAAAAAAAAAAAAAAAAAACCCAAAGAAACAGAATGAAAGGTTTCAAATCAACAACTTCAAGGAATTAGGAAGAGAATAAACTAAACCCAAAGCTAATTTAAGGATGGAAATGATAAAGATTAGAGCAAAGATAAGCAAAAGAGAGAGAGAAAAAAAAGGAGAAACCAAGAACTGTTCTGAAAAGGTCAACAAAACTGACAAACATTATCTAGATTAACTAAGAAAAGAAAGAACACTCAAATATCTAAAATCAGAAATGAAAGAGAAGACAGTGTAACTCATGTCACAGAAATAAAAATCATTACAAGAGAAAATTATTTATAGTTGTACATCAACAAAATAGATAACCTAGAAGAAATGGATGTTCCCAGAAACACAAACCCTACTAAAACTGAACCTTGAATAGAAAATCTGAACAGATCAATAATGAGTAAGGAGACTGAATCGTAATTAAAAACCTCCCAACAGGGGCACCTGGGTGGCTCAGTCAGTTAGGCCTCTGACTTCAGCTTGGGTCATGATCTTGTGATTTGGGGGGCTTGGAGCCCCACATCAGGCTCTGTGCTGACAGCTCCAGAGCCTGGAGCCTGCTTCAGATTCTGTGTCTCCCTCTCTCTGCCCCTCCCCAGCTTGTGCTCTGTCTCTCTCTCAAAAAACAAACATTAAAAAAATTAAAAAAAAAAAAAAAAGAATTAACACCAATCCTTCTCCAACTCTTCCAAAAAACTGAAGAAGAGGGAACATTTCCAAACTGATTCTATGAGGCCAGCTTTACTCTAATACCAAAGCTAGACAAAGACATTTCAAGGAAAGAAAACTACAGGCCAATATCCCTGATGAACATTGATACAAAAGTCCTTAACAAAATACAAGTAAACAGAATCCAAAAGCATTACACCATAAAAGGATGATACATTATGACCAAGTAGGACATATTTCTGCAATGCAGGGTGGGTTCAATATATAAAAATCAATGTAATACACCACATTAATACAATGAAGGTCAAAAACCACATGATCATCTCACTTGACGTAGAAAAAGCATTTGACAAAAAATTAACACCCTTTCATGATAAAAACACGTAACAATCTAGGAATAGAAGGAAACTACCTTAACAAAGGCCATTTGTGAAAAGCCCACAGTGAATATCATATTCAAGGCTGAAAGACTGCAAGCTTTCCTCTAAGAGCAGGAATCAGAGAAGGATACTCACTTTCACCACTTGTATTCAACTTAGTATTGGAAGTGCTAGCTAGAGCAATTAGGTAAGAAAAAGAAATAAAAATTGAAATTGATTCAATTCCAAATTGAAAATCTAAAGACTCTGTTTGCAGATAATATAATCTTATATAAAGAGAACTCTGAATTTCCAACAAAAGAAAACAAAACAAAAACTGTTAGAATAAACTCATTCAGCAAAGTTGCAGGATATAAAATCAACATACAAAAATCAATTGTGTTTCTATACACTAACAATGAACAATCTGAAAAGAAAATTAAGAAAATAATTTAATTTACAATAGTATCATAAAGAATAAAATACTTAGGAATAAACCTAACCAGGGAGGTAATATATTTATACACTGAAAACTATATAACACTGGTGAAAGAAAGTAAAGAAGACAAAAATAAATGTAAAGACATCCTATGTTCGTGAATTGGAAGATTTAATATCGTTTAAATGTCCACACTACCCAAAGTGATCTACAGTTTCAGTGCAATCCCTTACCAAAATCCCAACGGAATTTTTTGCAGAAATATTCATTTGGAATTGCAAGGGACCCTGAACAGTCAAAACAATTTTGAAAAAGAAGAACAAAGTTGGAGAACTCACACTTCCTGATTTCAAAACATATTACAAGGCTACAGTAATTAAAAGAGCATGTTAGTGGCATCAACACAGACAAATAGGGGTAACTGCATGACTCAGTCAGTTGAGTATCCAACTCTTGATTTCGGTTTGGGTCATGATTCCAGGGTCGTGCGATCGAGTCCCGTGTTGGGCTCTGCACTGAGTGTGGAGCCTGTTTGAGATTCTCTCTTTCTCTCCCTCTGCCCCTCTTCCTTGCTCATGTGCTTTCTCTCTCTCTACAATTAAATAAGACAGACAAAGAAATCAATGGAACAGAACCCAGAACCCAGAAATAAACCCTTGCATATATGATCAAATGATCTTTGATAAGGGTGCCAAGATAACACAGTGGGGAAAAGGACAAATGGTGCTGGGAAAGCAGGATATCCACCTGAAAAAGAATGAAGCTACACCTTTATCTTACTCCCTACACAAAAATTAACTCAAAATGGAATAAATGTAAATGTAAAACTATAATATTCCTAGAAGAAACACAGGGAAAGCTTCATGACATTAGACTTAGCAACAGTTTCTTAGACATGAGACCACAAAAGCACAGGCAACAAACATCAAAATAGAAAAATCCAACATCAAATTTAAAAACTTTTGTGCATCAAAGGACACAATCAACAGAGTGAAAAGGCAACCTAGGGAAAAGAAGTAAATAGCTGCAAATCACATATCTGATAAGGGATTAAATCCAGAATATATTAAGAACTCCTACAACTCAACAACAAAAGAATCAAATGACCCATTTTATTTATTTTTATAAAATTTTAAAGTGTATTTATTTATTTTGAGAGAGAACGAGATAGCATATGTTGGGGGGGGGGCAAGGGGGAGACAGAATCCCAAGCAGGCTCTGAACTTCAGCAAGAAGCCCTATGTAGGGCTCAAACTCACGAAACTGTTAGATCACAACCTGACCAAAACCAAGAGTTGGATGCTTAACTGACTGAGCCACCCAGGCACCCCCCTCAAATGACCCATTTTAAAAATGGGCAAAAGACTTGAACAGACATTCTCCAAAAATGTATACCAATGGCCAATAAGCATATGAAAAAATGCTCAATCTCACCAATCATCAGAGAAATGCAAGTAAAAACCAAAGAGATACTGTGAACACAAAATATTATTTCACACCCATTCTTTTGGCTACCATCCAAATAACAGAAAATAACAAGTGCTGGTGAGGATATGGAGAAATTGAATCCCTTGTGCATTACTGGTATTATAAAATGATGTAATTGCTATGGAAAACAGTATGGAGGTTCCTCCAAAAATTAAAAATAGAACTACCATATGATCTAGCAATCTCACTTCTCAATTCAAAAGAATTGAAGGTAGGATTTTAAAGAGATATTTGCACACTCATGTTCATAACAGCACTATTCACAATAGCCAGAAGGTGAAAGCAACCCAAAGTCTATCCATGGATGAATAAATAAAATGTGATGTATGCATACAATGGAGTATTATTCAGCCTTAAAAAGGAAGAAAATCCTTTCGCACGCTACAACATGGATGAATCTAGAAGACACTGTGCTAAGTGAAATAAGCCAGTCACAAAAAGACAAATACTGCATGATTCCAGTTATATGTGGTCTCTAAAGTAGTCAAATTCATAGAAACAGAAAGTAAAATGGTAGTTACCAGAGGCTAGAGGGAGAGGGAAAAGGGGAGTTGTTCAATGGGTACAATTTCAGTTTTGCAAGATGAAAAAGTTCTGGAGATCTGTTTCACAATAATGTGAATATATAAAACATTACTGAACTGTACACTTACAAATGGTTAAGTGAAATAAATCAGAGAAAAACAAATACTGCATAATCTCATTTACATGTGGAATCTAAAACAAAACACAAGCTCATACGTACACAGAACAGATTAGTGGTTGCCAGAGAGAGGTAGGGGATGAGGGGTGGGCAAAATGAGTGAAGGGAGTCAAAAGTTACAAACTTCCAGTTATAAAATAAGTCATGGGATATAATGTACAGCATGGTGATTACAGATAATACTGTATTGACTATTTCAAAGTTCCTAAGGGAGCAAATCTTAAAAGTTATCATCACAAGAAAAAAATTGTAAAATTATAATTATGTATGATGACACAGGTTAACTAATTGTGGCGATCATTTCACAATATATACAAATACTCAATAATTATGTTGGATAACTGAAATACAGTGTTATCTATCAATTATACCCCAATTAAAAAATGGTTAAGATGATAAATTTTATGTGTTTTTGAACCAAAAAATGTTCAAAACAGAAGGAACAAGGATGCTCTCTCTTTCAACTTTTGACTATTTTTTTTGTGGGGACACAAGGTCTGAAATTACTATAGCCATCCTGTCATCACCACGGGAGCATCAGATACCTCTGAGGAAGATAAAGTAGAAAGAAAGGTTGTGGGTCTCTGAGTCCATGATTCAACTGACCCTGGAGCCACCCATCTTTGGACTTCTCATTATGTGACAGAACAATATTGTTTCTTAATTTCAAAGTCATTTGTTATGTTTTTTTTTTTTTGCTAGTTAGGACCAAAGGCATGTACCAGATGCATTGCTACTATCAACAGTAAAAAAGAGGGGCGCCTGGGTGGCGCAGTCGGTTAAGCGTCCGACTTCAGCCAGGTCACGATCTCGCGGTCCGGGAGTTCGAGCCCCGCGTCGGGCTCTGGGCTGGTGGCTCAGAGCCTGGAGCCTGTTTCCGATTCTGTGTCTCCCTCTCTCTCTGCCCCTCCCCCGTTCATGCTCTGTCTCTCTCTGTCCCCAAAATAAATAAACGTTGAAAAAAAAAAAAAAAAGAAACTCCACCAGAATGTATTCAGAGGGCAGGATTTTTGTTGGCTTTGTTCACTGGCGCACAGAACAGTGCCGGCACATAGTAGATGTTCAACAAACACTTGATAAATGAATAAAAAGAAAATTTAGGATCCCTCTTCTACATCCTGTACCTCCTGCTCATCCCCCTCAGGGCTCAGCTTAAATGTCCTTACCCAGGGAGGTCTTCTCTGAAGCCCCCAAAATCTCTTCCTGTTCTCTGAAAACCCTGATTAGGTCTCAACTACAGGCAACCACCTTCTACTCTCACACTTCTTGTGGCTGTACTTAATTACCTATAACTATCCATTTAGCAAATGGACTCTCCCACTGGACTGTAAGCTCCATGAAAGCAAGAACTGGGTCTTGCTTATGGGTTACAGCCTCATCTCCGGGCACAGTGCTTACCACACTGTGGCACTCAAAAACATTAATTTCAAAGATGTTCCAACTCTATGTCGGCTCTACACAAAAACTTAAAAATCTAATTTATAACTCAGTCTTTTTGATTAATTAGAATATTCTAAGTTGCTTGTACAGAGGTTGAGGGACCAAAAAGGGTGCTATTTTTAAAAGTTTTCAATATCCTGGTTGGGGGAGGGGCTTATTCAAATTAAGCCATGGTATCTGGGGGGTTTCGAAAGCCCCAGAGTAAATAATTCATAAGTAATAATTCCTATGTTAGAGTCCCTTATGAAATCCGAGAAGAGATTTGCAATGTTTTCCTTTTAAGGACTACTTCCATCTTCTTGGCTTTAAAACACTCTTATTTGAGATTACTGTATTTGCTAAATTAATTTTACACTTGATTCACCCCTCACTGCTTCTCTGTCAAACTACCCATAAATGGATTTTTGCCAAAATGACAGAACTTTTTTCGTTATGCTGTCTATTCCATTATCACTAATTCGTTTATAATACAAAGTCTATGGGTTTAGTAAGAACCATACCTGCCATTCAGATTGGTATGACACTCAGAAATCCTAAGAAGTATTTTGTAAAAAACAGAAAAGGAAGGAAGGAGATGGAAGAAGAGTAGTTACTTGGATACCAGTTTCTATTACTTAAGGAAAATTTACACGAGTGCAACATGGTGGTAAAAACGTTTTCCGGAACAGTAACTGATGGGTTTTGATGACAAGGTACATTCCATACATACCTGCACGGTCCAGTATGACAGCCATTAGCCATGAATGTGACTATTTCATTTGAATGAATTAAAATAAATATTCAGCTTTTCCATTGCACTAACTACATTTCAAACACTCAGTAGCAACATGCAGCTACGGCTATCACATTGAACAGTGCAAATATACAGCATTTCTGTCATTGCACAACATTAGCACGGATCTATATGTTTCTACAAACAGATGTTAGTAATGGGTGATGGAAGCATTCAGGTCACCGAAAGAAACATGTAAGTGGAGAAACAGCCATATTATAAACATAAAACATCTATTTCCTACTGTATCCTTCTTGGGAACAAATTTCTTTTTTTTTTTTTAATTTTTTTTAACGTTTTTATTTATTTTTGAGACAGAGAGAGAGAGAGAGAGAGAGAGCGAGCATGAACAGGGGAGGGTCAGAGAAAGAGGGAGACACAGAATCTGAAACAGGCTCCAGGCTCTGAGCTGTCAGCACAGAGCCCGATGCAGGGCTCGAACCCACGGACCGCGAGTCATGACCTGAGCCGAAGTCAGACGCTTAACCAACTGAGCCACCCAGGCGCCCCGGGAACAAATTTCTTAAAAATAATCTGTCCTCTGGTCCCTTTAACTAAATAACAGAATTACAGCTTTTAAAAAATTTGTCTTAAAAGACTGAGAACTTACTCTTATTCTCTGTTAAGTGATCTGGGCATTACATGCAAACTTACAATTTGGTCTCATCAGCCTCTTTCTGCATGATTTCAAGAATCATGCGGCAGGCTTCAGAGGTCCCCTCTGGGGTGGCATGGATGGTGACGGGCTTCTCTGCAGCCCCAGAGTTCTCCTTTCTATGGATGTCTACCCTGTAGGGAAAGAATCAGAAGCCATAATACAATGTCATCTGGGACAGGATCCTAGTCTTGAGAAAGCGTCGCACGGGCCAACGTACAGCAAAAGGACAGAGACCATGAAGTGTCATTAGCACGTTTGCAACCAATGCCATTCTTCAATAAGGTGGCAAGCAGTGCAGGAGGTCTTGTGCCAAACTTGAATACTTTGCAGTTTCATTTAGAAGGGAGTATTCCTTGCAGGAGTGCTGTGGGACAAAGGCACTGAGCCCACTTGGTAATGAAGCCAGTTTGGTAAATGAAGTATTTTGTGTAGTCTTTCAAATGATCATAGAAGCAAAGGGTAAAGGGAGTAGGGTAACGCTGCATGCTGGCATGGTGCCAATCTCTGCACTGATTGTAGCTTTTAAAAGCCACATGTTAATCCAAATCCAAACACCAAATTCAAGCAAGCTTTGTATATTTGAGTGTGGATTAAAAACAGAGGCATGCCCTCTCTCTGCCTAAGTTTTTGGTTTCCTTGCCCCTGGCAGCCTGCCTTCTTCCAGGCTCTTAAAACTAATGGCTCAAAAGCTTGATGACTTTATCAGACTCTGTGGGGTTGTTGTGGCCCTACTTGTTTTTGTTGACTCTGAAAATCACATAATTGATCGTATCCCTTCTTATTTTGGCTGTTAGAAAGCCCAGATCCAAGTCTTTGACCTACTTGTAAAAAAAAAAAAATGGGCACATACTTTGAGAACTAACGTGTTACACTTCTACTTAAACTTTTTGCACTTTTAAAGCCACTTTAAGAAATTTTTGGAACAAAAAGACACAACTAAAAATTACTTTTGCAGTGAAGCAAACTTGCAGGGGAAGAAAGGGCTGATTTTAAAATCAATGGAACAGCAGACAGTACTTCCCCTTTCTACTAGGTCATCATTTCACTGCTATGATCATGAACTTGGGACTCATACCTGTAAGTGTCCATTAGTTGGCAGTAACTCAGACACTTTGAAGAAAACAGTGTTTTTTCTCTTTCGGGTTACAAGATACTCAATGAATGACGTGAATAAAGTGCACTAGGCCGTGTAAGGAACTCATGTTCACCAGTAACTTGGTGTTTTGCAATTTAAATGCTTTCATAGCAATTATTTCATTCAATCTGCCTGGCTGTCCTAATTCTAACAATAATCCTGGCTTACAGAACAAGACATTAATGCTCGGAGAAGTTATTTTTTTCCCCAAGATTATACATTTAGTGGTAAATCTTGAACAGGGGTCTTTGCATCCTGTACTTTGTTACATCAGGCTGTGTTCTTAAGAACATACAAAAACCAACAAACCACTACAACTCCTACTACCAGTTCCATCTCCTTAGATGTCTAAACAGAGGCTAATATACTTCATTTCTCACTCAATACAGCAGACTCACTTACTCCTTTTATGTAGCTATTTATGGGACCACCTAAGTGATCTCAAAGAATGACTACCATCCAGGGCTCCAGCTCAAGAGAGGAGGTAAGAACTAAGGTAACTGCTTTCTGGGATCCCACAAAGTTCAGCCCCATACCTCTGCTGTTTTAGAAAGTGATATATTCACAAGCACTAGTAAGCTTATGAGAATAATTCTCTGCCGCTTTAAGAACCTTTAGTAATTCAGGGTATGACCTTTAGGCTATTGGCATGAAAGCACGGTGAAGTCCCCAGCTTTGTTAGTCTGTTAGTAGTTCTGAGAAGCCACCATCCCTTTTAGCACAGCCCCCCTGCTGATGCAAGCGATAGCCACCTAGGATGACTGGGGCCCACCAGCACTCAGGGGGCCTGTCAGAAGGAAGCAAAGGAAGCCCCGGAGGCACGTACCGGGACTGGGTCTGCTTAGTGATGTTCTTTATGGTCAAGCCCTCCTTTCCGATGATGGCACCAACAAACTGGGTGGGGACCAGGATCCGCAGCGGGAAATCAATCTGTCTGGCCTGAGAAGAGCCCCCAGGGGCGTGGCCTTGCTCCCGGGAAGAGTGGTCCCCACGCTGGGCTCGCTGTGGGGGCGAAGGGGAGCTCACCTCTTCATCCGGGATGTAGGAAATCTTGAAGGAGTAGTTCTCAAACTGATGCCCGCTTAGCTTCTCGATGGCTCTGAAATGCAGCAGCAGCAAGTGAGCCTTGTTAGACCCTGACGTCAAAGAAGACCCTCAGGCCAGTGGACGGGGTCAATCAGTCTGCTTTCCTAGTTGCCTACGTGAGCAGCACTACTCCTTGAGGAGAACCTGGTGAGCAAGGCAGGTGCCTGCTTTGCTCCCTCAGAGCTGATGGTTAACAGTTAAATTATCACAAAATATAGGCCTGGTCAGATTTGATACACAACTATGCATTCTGCTTTTTTTCCACTGCCTGAGGCTGTATCCTCCTCATCAAAAACTCTTTGTAAGTACTAGTATAAAATTATGACTCACTTTTTTTCTCAGCTTGATCATAATACATATTTATCACTGAAAATTCAGAAATGGTTAAGTACAGATTAGAAAAAAATCCTAGTCCATCCTGTATCTTTTTCTTAAATATAATTATCATTTATAAACAAGGATTAATATTACATACACTATTTTCTAATCTTTAAAAAAGAGTTAACACTCTAAACATTTTCCAAGTCACTAAATGTCCTGCAATTTAATTTTTACTGGCTGTTTAACACTATTGATTTATCATAGTTTTTGCAACTCATTCCCTATCGTTAGATATATATCTATATCCAATCTTTTATTATGTCATAATAAAATTTTTTATTTATCTATTATTAAGTGTCGTGGGCATTTTTGCAACTACAGCTGCACACAGGACAAATTCCTAGTGGAATTGCTGGGTCAGAAAGAATGCAGAATTCCAATATTATTAAGTACCCCTCAGTGTGCTTCTGTAAAGGTTTCAACACTTACTATCCCATAGCAGTTAAGACAGCATTTGTTTCTTGAGTCTTCAAAACTGGAGTATTATTTAAAATTATTTATCAATTTGATAGGGAATAAATGATATCCCACTATTGAATTTTTAAAATTATATAGAAGTAGAACATTTTTTTCATAAGCTTTCTGGCAATATGTGAAAACAACAATGCTATTCTACTATATTAACCTTTAGTGTTTGTGAATTTATTACAAAGCAGCACCTTTGAATTCAATAAAAGCAACAGAGTAATATCACCTATGGGAGGTCCTACCTAAGTGGCAGCTGGATATAAACTCTAAAGGTGAGCTCCTGGTATATATCTTGCTTATATGTGTGTGGCTAAAGTCAACAGCAAATGATCTATGGCCTTTTTCAATGCAAAATTAACTTCTTAAAGACTAGTGGTATGAGGATGGGTTAAATATGTCTTCATGTGTGCTGAAACCTTGAAAAATAAATAAAACTATAATTCTGGGATGTAGAACCAAGGTTATGCCATATGCATGAAACATGTGTGACCATAACTGTAGTTACAATGACCTGACAGGCATTTCACTTTAAGGACCTCCTACAAAAAGGAACTTGTTTTCTTGTAGTTGTTTTAAAAACTCAATCCCATGTCCATTAATTGCCAACCTCAAAATTAACCATCATTGAAACAAGGTACTCATGCATGGGGACTAGGAAGTAAATGGAGGTTAGGAATGAGAACCCAAGCCAGGTGATCTTTGACTAACCACTCCCAGACAATTCCCCCTGTTGCTGATGTCATGGGGATGGGTCCCCTTTTTAATATTACACAGAGGAAAAATGGGTGTTTCATGATCTCTTCACCAAGTGTGGACAGAAATAGGCTTGTGCTTCTTCCTCATAGTGCATGGAGGAAGCTCCAGGTAAAAGCTCTGTGGTCAACAGGGACCAAGGACAGAATGTCACAGAGCTGGTGCCTCTATTCGTGACCATGTCCAGGCACAGGTCCCACCTCAGTTTTGATGCCAAGGCTCAACATTTTTCACGATAAAGTCTCTGTACAACCAACAAACAGCCATCCCATTATAAATGCCCTAAGCTCCACTGACACATCAAAGGCATCCACAGATGCCCTGAGGCTCCTCAGGCAGGTCAAAGGTAGGAATCTTTTTGGAATTCAAAGACAACCCTCCAAAAATTTAAAAGGAAAGAAGCCCAAATCCACTTACATTTTTGCTTCTTCTCTTGTTGCATATGTGACGTTGACAACAGCAGTTTCTGTGTCTGTGTTGACTAGGAAAGAAGCAAAAACTATACTGTCATAGAAAAAAAAAGCTGGCACCCTCTGGCTCAATGTAAACAGACTAACTTTAGAGAAGAATGCACAAAAAACTCATCACCCTAACTCCACAGTATTTGAATCTCTATCTTTATTCATGTGCATTCATAAATAGTAATCAATTGTATATACATATCTGTAATCAACTGTATATACAGCTCAAAGCTGTATTTTCACTTATAATACCACTGCATGTGCATATGTATATGCTCATTATGTTTGTATTTTCCATTTCTAATGTCTACACAAAATTTTAGTAATTGTGCCATGATTTTTGACAAGCCATTCCTCAATTGTTGACAAATGAATTATTCCCAATATTTGCTATTCTAAGTCGTGTTGCTAAAAATCAGCTTTACTGCAAATATCATTTGAATTGTGTTCTCTTCTGAATTACTTTTTTAGGCTAAATCATGAAGAAAAATAACTGGGTAATGGAACATAATGCTTCTTAATGCATATTTTCAGATTACTTTCCTAAAAGTTTATGTCAATTTATTGTACCACCATCAAGGTAGAAGTCTGTTATGTTTGCATTTATTTTTAAATAACTGGATATACATATAAAATAACAAAGTATTTTAATTCTTCATTTATTCCTAAAGTAGAATTATTAATATTTTTGTTTCCCTTTGACTGAGCTCCATGACTCTGAGTTAAATTAGTAACTGTATAATAAATAAAGAAAAGTTGTAAGTCATTTCATTGAAGGAGAGAACACAAACTCTAAGAGTGGCCAATATAAAACTCTTGTGAGCTGGCTTATCTTGGTTCGTAATTGCCTCTTCTTCCAAAATCAGAAGTTAAAAATAAATTCAGAAGTCAAGATAAAACTTTCTCAATCTAAGCCAGTAAACTTAAACCAAAAATTCTGTTTTTCCCCAAAACAAGTAGCTATGACTAAGTCAGATCCTCCCTTTAAAAAACACTTAAGCTATGGGGCACCTGAGTGGCTCAATTGGTTAAGTGTCTGACCCTGGCTCAGGTCATGATCCCAATGTTCACAAGTTCAAGCCCTGCATCGGGCTCTGTGCTGACAGCTCAGAGCCTGGAGCCTGTTTCAGAATCTGTGTCTCCCTCTCTCTCTGACCCTTCCCTGCTCTCTCTCTCTCTCAAAAATAAATAAAATACTAAAAATTTTTTTAAAAAATATTTAAGCTACTGGGAGACTTGGAGTTAACCATATTAAGTTAATGATAGAGTTAATTCAAGAAAACCATGATAAAGCTGCTTTCCAAGTAATAGTAAAACCTTGTAGTATAGGGATTCCTAATTTGGATCCATGTTAGAGCTTCAGAAATTTTATAACCTCACACCACCACCACCACCACCATCACGAACACCTCCTCCTCCCCCCACCTCCACCACAACCAAAGATTCAAATGTGTGGATGGATGTATGAATTTTCTGGTTTATAATCTCCATAAAACTCTCAAAGAGGTTAAAGACTACAGTCAAAAATATTGTTTATTCAATAACTTCAAAATAGCTGCAACCTTCAAAGGGAAGGGATGCACAGTCTTCAGGAAAGAGGTGATATTGAGATTTACACGTCATAAATGCTGAGCCCAGCCCGGCTCTGCCCGGGAGTGTTCTTGCTGCCTCTCATTCACACTTACCCAGAGAAGTTCTCACAGTGCAAAACAGGGGATGAGTAGCCCACAACCGTCCTCTCTCAGTGCTGACACACAGAATGTACCCGAGGGTTCCTATTTGCTGCTTTCTAGTGCTCCAGATGAGGCTGTCGACTCCCAGAAAGGGAGAAAGGGATGGCTTTGAACCTCCTGAATAAATCTATCCACTAGGATTCTCAGATTCTCAGATTTTGTTCTCACTTCTTAGTCATATTCTGTTATTCAAAGACCTTTGTCTTCAGCAAATCAGACAGTTCTGTGATTCTGGAAAGAACTGAGCTCCATTCGAATAATTTATTTCGCTGGACATAAAAGCTCTAAAAAGTTTCTTAAAACTCTACTGAAAATATTTTCCTGCTGAATCAGGAATCACCTATGAAACAAAACAAAACAAAAGCCCAACACTTCTATCCTGTAGTTGTGAGGCGGCTGGAAACTGGATGGTCTCCAGGGCACAGGTGCACTAGGAGCTGTCACTGCCCCAGGGACCTTCAGTATTTCCTCCTCGCATGGCAGTGTCCTGAATTTATAAGATTGTCTTAGCTAGTAACTTTTACAGGCTCATGTCTGTGAGGCCATCTTGCCTACTACATCCAATCCTTATTAGAATGTCTTCTTCTCCATGTTGAGGGAAATAACAAGAACTGAGAAACAGAATCCTTGTAAATCATGTCTTCTTTCTGAGCTCTTTCCCTTCACCTTTGGGCATGGGCAGTCAGCAGCATGAAATTGAATAATAATATTTTTAATATTCATGGAGTGGAGAACAGCTGAATAATTACTACTTTAAAATGATTACTTTAATTATACTGGCAGATAGAACAGATTGCATATCAGACAATTGGTTCTCTGTGATTATTCATTCCCAAGTGAATCTTAACAATCCCTTGAGATTATATAGGACTCTGTTGCCTACAAATTTTTATACAGGTTCACTTTGGATCCCACAACTACTCAGTGATATAGAAGGGATAGAATTTATTCTCCCCATTTTATACATGTGGAAACTGAGTCAGTGAGGGTTAAGTGACTTTTCCCAGGGCTTCACAGTCAGTAAATAACTGCATTCACATTCTGCTTTTTAGGCCAAAAGAAAAAAGTCTTTATCACATGTTACTGCTTGCCACATCAGGAGCTTGGAATCTACTTTTCGGGGACTCTTAAAGAGCTATGTGAGGTATCAATTTCTTTATAAAGATAAACGTTTTAAAGAAAGACTTTTTACTGTTTAAAATCATAGCAATTCATGTTTTAGATGATATAAGCGAGAGCAGCAGAAAGAAGGGTATATATTTTCTGTGGATGTCCAACACTGATGTCCTAAGCCTGTGGCTCTCAAACTTGAGTACACACAAAAATCAGTTGGGGGTGCTTGTTTAAAATACAGATTCATCAACGCTTGCCCCAAAGAGTCTTACTTTGTCAGTTTATGGTGAACCCCAGGAATGTGCATTTTCATAAGCACTGTGGGAGATTCTGGTATAGGAGTCCTACTCCTTGAGAAACACTCAGTCTAAGACACTAGTGATCTGTTGTTCTTAGCCAGGAAAAAGAAAACTGTGACAGCATAAATTCAATTACTTCCAAGTGAATTAAGCTTACCCTAGCCTGACAGTGTTTGAGAGCACATTAACAGAATATATATATATATATATATATATATATATATATATATATATACACACACACTTTATATATAAACCAAACCTGAAAGTCATATTCTTTGAAACAATAAATGTTATAGATATGGATAAAAAGATCTGAATATCTGTAACAGAGAAAGCTTGTTTCAAAAGAATCTGAATTTACTATTTGTCTTTGGAGCTGACCCAGCCTATAACATAACAATCCCACTCAAAATTCAATAGGCTAATTTGCTCACTTAATACCTTGTTCTACATTCTCCACTGTCCCATACTGAGCCAAAAGTCCATCCAGCACCTGAAAAAGAGAGATCCCATGTCAGAACAGGAAGATAAGATTGTACTCACACACACAAAAATAGTATAGTGATATCTCCCAGCAAATGAACGAAAACAAAACAAGGACAGTTACAGGAATAATCTAACTAAATTGATATTTCAGGTCTTCCATCAAAACAGTTAAAAATGAATAAATATATGGGACTTGCACTTGGTTATTAGCTCTCAAGTAATCTGTCCACTAAGGTGACACAGCAGAATTTCAGAGTCTTACTGTTAACAATCACATCCATCGTGATGGTTGGGGCACAATGCTTTAGGACAAGCAGAATAAAGGACAAGGTTTACTTGCCCTTCTTACAAGTTTTAACCATTCTTCCTTCTGTTTTTCTCTAGGGATCTCCTTATTTTACAAAGCAGTGGGATATATATATTTTTTTACTTTGAAATTTTCCATAATAAAGGATTTTTTTTAAGTAATAAAAATGTCAGACAAAACATTCTATTTCCTTTAAGGCTGTTTTGATTTTGTTTGGGCTGGAAATAAACATTGGGGCAGTTTGTTTTTAAATAATGCAATGAGGCCACTCCTCACATTCTGTCTTCTTGAATTTTAAGGTAGCAATCTTATAAGAAGTTTTACAACTCTGAAACTATATCTTCACTATTACTCATAGCAACTCATTCACAATCAACAAAAAACTTACTCAAACTAACAATCTTCTATTTTTATTGGGTTTCCACTGATTTTATTTCTCCAAAATCATAATTTGGAAAGGTAAAAAGTCTTTTACAAAATCATGACCGAAAAATCACAAACCAGGTATACATTTTGTTTCACAGTTTGTCAGTGCTTGGTGCCTGAGAAGACAGAACAGGAGGGCTCAAAGCACACATCTTGCACAACAAAAAAGAGACGAACACGACCCTAAAGTTGTGACAGATCACGTACATTAGGATACTGAAAAAGGAAGACAGAGCACGCAGGAGCTTTGTGGAGAGGTATGAGGACCTCTAATTCCCCAGGGAACTCACAGAGGGAGAGCGGTTTTGCTGACCTATTAAAAAGGAAGATGAGGATGGAGGGCAGGAAGACGGTAAACACACAGGTGACACTGGCTTACCTCCCACTGCAGGTGAGGAGGGATGTTTCGGATCTGAATTTTCCTGCTCCTGTAAAAATGAAAGCTCAGACTATAACACTTTCTCTAGGACACAGACTTCAGCAAATGACAAAATGTCTCAAGACCATAGTCTGAGTTCACTTTCTGTGTTTACTGAGGCATTGGCAAGAGATTCCAGCTGTGACTCATGAGCATCATGTTTTAAGGTTTTCAATTACTTTGGGGAAAAAAAGAATAAACCCAACAAGAGTGAATACGCTAAGTGAAACAGCTTAAGTACAGATGTGCCTTTTCAATTTCTTGCCAAAGCAGTTAGAACCTAAATTACCATACAGATTCTAATTATAGAATTTAGTACCTTCCTCCCCAAAATAGATGGTCCTGCAACTGACCCTACCCCAGTGGGTACTAAGGCTCAAATGTGACAGGTGAGGTCACATAAATAGTGGACTGAAATGAGGTCAGATTTAGTTCACCCTTTACCTAATAATGTAAAACTTCCTTTCGAAAATTACTTTTATCTTTGAATAAGTAATACAGTAATAATTTAAAAATTAGAACACTATAAAAAGGTGTGCTAGAAAAAGTCTTACTCCCACCCACTCCCTTCCTTTACCAGAAATAAACACTTTTACTTATCACTCGTGTACTCTTCAGTTTCTTTATGCAAATAATAGCAAATGCAAATATAAATTCTTATTTCTCCCCCTCTCTTACAGAAATATTTACATATTCTACAAACTCTCTGCATGATTTTTTCACCTGAACAGTATAATCCTGGAGATCTTCCCATGCTGACAGAGCCTTCATTCTATTTTATATTATGTGGAGGTACCAAAGTGTATTCAACCCATCCCCCTTGGGCCTTCTTTCACCTTTTTAGTCAGAGGATTTTTCTGTTTTTCTGGGACATCCTGCTGGTCTGATAACTAAGTGATTTAGATTGTTTCTTGTTTTTAAGTAAACATTAAAATTACATAGGAAAAGGAAAGAAATGGAAGCATAAGAATTTTTCTATCTTTTAAGAATATGTCAGATCCTAGAAAGAAAACACAAATCAGCATTTAAATATTAGAGAGGTATATTTTAATGGAAGGACTTGACATCTGATTCCCCTAAATATCCATTTTGGGGCATTGTAAGAAAAGGGATGTAATGGCAAAAGTGTACCTGCCATTACTTTTTCTTTTTTTCTGGTGTCAGAGGTACCAAATAGGAACTACACACAGCCACAAGTTTTTCCATGGCTTTAATCTGGGCAACAGCCCCAGAAAGAAATGTTAACAATTCATGCAGAGAGGAAAAGAAAGAGAGGTACACAGAGGAAACATGAAAACAAACAATCAAGTAAATCAGGGGCTCCGGTTTTCTCACGGTTTTTATTGAACGCAAAGGCAGGGCACTTCTATGTTCTAGACCCTACACGGTACTTCTAATTTTTAAAAAATGAGAGTGCATTCATGCTTTACTACAGGGCAAGCCAGTCTACAGAACCTCTAATCTGGTATCAGGATAGGAAGGAGGAAGATGAACCAAGAACTTATTTCTACCTCTACGCTATGAAGTCCCTTTCCTGACACTGCCTTTGGCAATAGTTCACAATAAAACTGCTGACACTATCCCATGTAGTGGCTCAACGGAATGCTCCACAGAAGATGTCACAAGTCTATTTACAGAAAAGACATCAGAATTTGCAAGAAATTGAATACTTCTTTTAAATATAATTTATTGTCAAATTGGCTTACATACAAAACCCAGTGTTCATCCCAACAAGTGCCCTCCTCAATGTCCATCACCCATTTCCCCTCTCCCCCACTCCCCTTCAACCCTCAGTTTGTTCTCTGTATTTAAGAGTCTCTTATGGTTTGCCTCCCTCTCTGTAACTATTTTTCCCCTTCCCTTCTCCCATGGTCTTCTGTTAAGTTTCTCAAGATCCACATATGAGTGAAAACGTATATTTGTCTTTCTCTGACTTATTTCACGTAGCATAATACCCTCCAAGTTTCATCCACGTTGCTGCAAATGGCAGGATTTCATTCTTTCTGATTGCCAAGTAGTATTCCATTGTATATATAAATCACATCTTCTTTACCCATTCGTCAGTTGATGGACATTTAGGCTCTTTCCATAATTTGGCTATTGTTGAAAAGTGCTGTTGTAAACACTGGGGTACATATGCCCCTATGCATCAGCACTCCTGTATCCCTTGGTTAAATTCCTAGCAGTGCTATTGCTGGGTCATAGGGTAATTCTATTTTTATTTTTTTTGAAGAACCTCCACAGTGTTTTCCAGAGCAGCTGCACCAGTTTGCATTCCCACCAGCAGTGCAAGAGTGTTCCCATTTCTCCACATCCTCGCCAGTATCCATAGTTTCCTAATTTGTTCATTTTAGCCACTCTGACAGGTGTGAGGTGGTATCTCAGTGTGTCTTTGATTTGTATTTCCCTAATGATGAGTGACGTTGTCCATCGTTTCATGTGTTTGTTGGCCATCTGGATGTCTTCTTTGGAAAAGTGTGTCTATTCATGTCTTCTGCCCATTTCTTCACTGGATTATTTGCTTTTCGGGTGTGGAGTTTGGGGAGTTCTTTATAGATTTTGGATGCTAGCCCTTTATCCGATATGCCATTCATAAATATCTTTAAGAAATTGAATATTTCTAAAGAAAAATATTTTTTTTAATCTCCAAATATAAACATCAACTCTAAATACTAACCAAGAATTTACTAGTATATAAGTCTTATTGGATGAAACTCATTCATGAACACAAAGATTTGAAAAAAGACAACCATAGCATTGTTTGTGATGGCAAAGATGGCAAACAATCTAAATACTGACCAACAGGCAAATGAATAAATCAATCACAGGACAGCCACAAGATGGAACATTATACACCTTTTAAAAAGAATGAAGCAGGGGTGCCTGGCTGGCTCAGTCGGTAGAGCATCCAACTCTTGATCTCTGGGTCTTGAGTTCAAGCCTCATGTTGGGTGTACAGATTACTTAAAAAAAAAAATGAGGTCGACATATAGGCACGGTCATAAGGAACCATCCACTGCACGCCGTTGTAAGAAAAGAGCTAATTATAGATTAGGAAGATCTTGGTTTTTTTCAAATGTTTTTAATGTTTATTTTTGAGAGACAGTGTAAGCAGGGGAGGGGCAGAGAGAGAGGGGACGGAGGATCTGAAATAGGTTCTGTGCTAACAGCAGAGAGCCTGATGTGGGGCTCAAACTCACGAACCTGTGAGATCATTATGTGAGCTGAAGCTGGACACTTAACTGGCTGAACCACCCAGGTGCCCAAGGCAGATCATGTTTTTTAAGTGCACAAAACATACAACATGCTATTAAATGTGTGTGCTTGTAAACGCATAAAAAAAGGAAGGTACAGGCAGTTGGTGAAAGGGGACATATACTTTTAATTTTAGCTACTTCTGTCATTTGTTTTAAAAAACGAGAATGTACTCATGCCTTACTTGCTTTAAAAAATTAACAAAACTCCTACTAAGTCTGCTTTAATGAATATACAAGATTTATTTTTGAAAAGTATACTAGAACCCACTAAATTAAAAAAAGGAAAGAACCAAAACCAAACACCTCACTTTTTCCATAACTAGGTTAGGTATTCTTGAAATCGTATTTAAAAGAATATTAATTTATTTAGCAAACTCTGTTCCTAACGTATAAGCCATCAAACTCTGTCTGATCCAGATTACTGCAAATCCTAACTAACTGGGTCTGAAACAATAATGTTTCCCTTAATGCCTCATGTAAACAATGCACATCAGGCAATCAGTTCAGGAAATGGAATGTTCGTTAATCACGATTCCAGGAGAAATAATCCCTAAAAAAGCTAGTGTGTGGCATCTCTAATCTTAGGTCTGAATGGAAAGAAAGAAAAAGAACTGAGAACTGAAAAAGGAACTGGAGATCACTATAGGAGAACCAATTACACTGATCCTTAGGTAACTGGGAAGATTATCCTGAGCTATTATCTTTCGGGATCAGGAGTGGGCAGGACCTGTGAGTTCTGCTAACTTCCACAGCGTGATCAGGATGCTATGCCTCCTTCTCAGGGGCCAGGGATGCTTGTCCCCTTCAGCCCCCAGGGAGGGACTTCCACATGTCCTTCAAACTCCGCTCACATGTGCAGAGGCTTCCAGGGCATCTCCAGGCAGAACTGTCTCCTCTGCACTCTTCAGCTTTTGTAACAGCTCACTCTCTGCTGTAATTATTTTTCTGCTGGGGCTGTCATGTTCCCCCACCAACCTTCTGCTTGATGGTAATTTCCTCAAAGACAAGCTCTTTATTTACTAGTCTTCTGTCCAGCACAGGGCCAAGTGTCTAGTGTAAAAGCAGAACATGGCACCCCAGGGCTGGGAAAAGCACTCCTAATGCTGGCTGTAGCATGCCTATGATGTGGATCCCCCTGACCCCACCCCGGAAGGCCAACTGTTTATTTCTCCTGTGCCAGGTAGTCAAGAGAAGAGGGAAGGGTTTTTTACCCTCCTTCCCTTTTGAAATCCATAAAAGTATGCCCTGCTTTAAGAAGCCAAACATACACAATAACTCAGGAAAATTATTGGTTTTAAGAAAATAATTTTGTTTCTTAAAAAAAAAGGAATAATCTCACAGTTCCTTTATTTTAGCAAAGAAATCAACCTTCCCTCAACACACATAATGATGTTTCTCATCTTCACTGCCCAGAAGCATTACAGCAGCTTCCTAGCTGGCCTGTCTTCCAGTACTGCACTCCTTCCTCTCCCAGCCAGCCCTCCTGGGCTGCCAGTGACTGACTGACTTTCTCTTTTTCTTTTTTTAAGTTTATTTATTTTTGAGAGACAGAGAAAGAGTGAGTAGGGGAGGAGCATAGCGACAGGAAGAGAGAGAGAATCCCAAGCAGGCTCCACGCCATCAACACAGAGCCCGAGTGGGGCTCGAGCTCACAAACCACAAGATCATGACCTGAGCTGAAATCAAGAGTCAGATGCTTAACCGACTGAGCCACCCAGGTGTGTCCCTGTCAGTGACTTTCTAAAGCACAAAT